TTGTGCAAGGACTAGGCTTATTAGCATTAAGTGGAAGCAAACCATTCAACACTTGCAATAGCTTCTTGCAATGTCTTCACCATTATCATTGTGTTTGGTTGATAAAATATTGTTATCTCAACTGATACTTTATTTGGCTTATTGTGTTGATGTGAAATTCCTGTTATGCCACAAATTAAATGCCCTCCCTCCAAACGACAAAAATATTTTTTCTTTTAACAAGTGTCCAAAATATGTTCATTTTCAACAAGGTAGGTTCTTGAAGCAAGGTTGTTCTTGTTATGTTTAATTGTTTACTTCACCTATATGTCCCGAACTGTTAGGTAAAGATGTGTGGTATAGGAAGAAAATGAGTAATTAAGAATATAGAGAATGTAGTATATTAACTATATAGATAATTTTTTTTACTGTGTCATTACAATAGAGAGTATATTATCAAACCTCAAAATATTGGCATTTCATTTAATTCAACTGTTTTAAAGATTTTTACATCTCATTATTTTAGGGAAAAATTTGTCTTGTAGTGAAAAGCCAATGCATTGTTTAAAGCACCTTTACAGATTACCTGATTCTGATTCTATTTTTCACTGCATTTGAACTGTTTTACAAGTTGTATCTAAGTGATGCTAAGGCAAAACATTTCTTGTCTGTAGACATGTAAATAAATTCTCTTGGTTAAAGATTCAATTGGATGAATTGAATTACTCTTCCTTACTCTGGAAGAAGTCAGCTTTGCCTCCATTAGCATATTAATTTCAATATTCTTGATCTATCAATGTGTCTATTCTTCGGAATGTCCTTTTATCTGGTTGTAGCATCTTACTCGGTCCCTTATTAATTATTAATGTGTTCATTTTATATGTGTATGAAAGTCATGCTTTTCATTTTTTTTCTGACTAAAGTGAAGTCACAGGATTTGCGCTATGTTTATATTTTGGCAAAAAATTACAAATGTATTCCTTAGGTTGTACATAATTTAACACCTAAAATTATAATCTCCCTTTTGTTCTACTGCCCCAGCACAAACAGATGTGCATAAAATTAGTATTTTGATATAAACTAGCCCAAACTACATAATTCAAGACTAAAATCAGTATTCTATTGTAAATTAAAAAATATATTTTTCTGGTCTCCATTTTCCTAAAAATTCTGGGATATAATCTTAATGGATTATCCAAAACTTGGCAGGTCTTTTACAAAATGCTACACACACACACACACACACACACACACACACACATATATATATGATTATAGCAAATATATGTATTTGCTGTGATGGATCCAATATTCCAATATTAATCAGGTCTTTGTGTCAAAGGCAACTGAATTCTATGTATTCAATTGTATTTTATGTTCTACATCCCAAAAGTTTTAGATGAGGTATAAAATGTGATTTGTCTTTAAACCACATATGCTCTGGAAGCATTGGAAGCATTGGAAAATAGAAGGATGGCATTAAGAAAAAAAATGTGTAAACAAAGTTACTTATTTATAAATATAACTATACATATAGTTGTTTGTGAAGCTAGTAATATGATCACCTCCTTCTCCTCTTCCTAAGAAAAGTAATGGAAATAGAAACAACTTGGGAGTATTTACATTGCCTATTTGCTTTTTATCTGCCATTTAGTAGAAGTGCAATCTTCAGCAAGTGACTTAAGGTTTCTGAATCTTGTTTTCATCATCAACACATGACAATAATAACGCTTTAAAGAATTGTGAAAGTCAAAGTAGCAATGTCTGCTAGAGTGCCTTGCCATTGTAAAATGCATGGTAGAGATAGTTGTGACCTTTCAGGAGTAATTCTAGCTGCCACTAGTAATTCTAGCTGCCAGTCTCTGAGGTGGAGCACATTGCTTAGACTGAAGACATTGAGTGAGTTGTGCTAACTTTAAGATGACTGTGGGCAGAGATTCAGGGGGAAGACTAAAAACTTTTTTCTTTCTTCCTCTCCAGGAAGACTGGCAAGTATTTATGTGATTCATTTGCCAAATTTTATTCCTTCCACGAGAGATGTCAATTCTTAAATATTTTCAGTGAATTTAGAATTATTAGAAGTGCATGTGAATGTGAAGGCATATGCTTCTTGGGAAGTTCAGAAAGAGTGCATCAACTCTCTGGTGGTTGGATCGAATGCCATTATCTTGAATGAATTATTCTTAGAAATTTTTCTCTTAACATTCTTAAATGTCTGCCTAACAGGCTAAAGCAAGTGATTATTTTCCAAACACCTGGATGTCATTTTGAAGTATCTGTGTTTTGACCTATCATGTTCAGAGACAAAAGAGCTCTGCTTCATGTGCTACCTCTCAGGGTCTGAGACTTGATGTTTCTATTCCCATGCGATTGATTGCAGGACAGAAGTTACACAGGGAAAAGTGATAAACCAGTGGGAAAATCAGATGTGTATTAACGTGTTTTCATTTTGGGAGAAGAAGAGATTAGTAGATATAGTTTTCCCAGAATAGCAATGACACCCATATTTCAAAAGAGTTTATTACACCACATGGATATTTATCATGGTTTGTTGTTTTAATCTACCATACCATTCCTTTTCATTTGGTTGACTGTTGTAGATGGACAGATTTGGAGAAGAGGGCTTAAATCATTCATTTGGGGTGTCTTTCACTTGGATTTTATAGCAGTCACAAACTAAGGGCTCTCAGCCAAATGGTGTTTTGTTTGGGAAGCAGGGTGTTTTTAAGGAAGTCATATCTGAATGCCTTGAGGTGGAGTACATCCTCTCCATTTTATACCCAGCTGTCTTATGAAATTATATTATATGCCTGAATCATATAGGTATTTGAGTTTTTGGGTGCTTGACCTATAAAAACCAACAGGATTTTATCAGCAGTCTCTGTGGCTAACTTTGTTGCATTTCGGCAGGTGATAGTCCTAAATAATGGATAGTTAAGTCTTTCCAGAAAATTGCTTCTTTAGGCTAGATGTAGTTCAACTTGTGAAACCTTCTGGGAATCAGCAACAGAGAAAAAGGCTACATTGTGGAGCCCTTTGAAATTGTAGCATCTAATATTTTCACCTTGTATTGTTTTGGAGCACCTGAAAGATGTGAGTTTAGTATGGTGAATGCAGCAGAAAATAAAGAAGGGAATAGCAGAAGTATGTTTAAATTATTATTTCTTCTTTTTTCTCTCAAACTAATAAAGCTTTTAAATGAGTCAAATACATATTTTAATTGATAAACTGACTTTATATTCACCTATTGGAAACAGTACAACATATTTTACATCAGGTTATGAAATATGGATGTTTTACTAAAAGACAGGAAGGGCTTTTTCCAGTCTTTAAAGTAAATACATATTCAAAGGATCTTAAGGCATACCATTTATTCATATTCATATCTATTGAAATACTGTACATCCACATACTTCAATAAATAGTTAAAAACCTGACCTCTTTTTAAATCATTTCTGAATTTCAAAAAACAATTTTTATTGAAAAGATTAAATAGGTAATTTTGGCTGTCACAAAGCTAAGCACAATGGATAAATTAACAATTTTTCAGTAAATTTGATCAATATAGATGATTGGCTTTGATAAATTTCTCAGAGTTTTCTGAGTTCACACATTGGGGTATATATATATCTATATATCTATATATAGATATATAGATATATATATATATGAAATTTCTTTTTGTCCTGAATTACCTGGGTAATTTTCTTAGTTCTCCAGTCTACTTTCTAGATATAGCTTGAATGTTATGATGAAGCATTAATTTTTCACTTAAGTTTTAAACACCCCCAAAAGTGGTTTTAAGTTTGACATTCTCTCTTGAATCTTTTAGTGTTTCCCAAAAAACACAATACTATAATTTGGGCAGTACTTTTCATTATATAATTGCTACATAATAGGAACTTAATGGTGTCACAGGACTTATGTTTCGAATGGGATCATTGTAAAACATAATTACACCACTTGCAGTTAAACCAAGAATGCAAATGAATTAAGTCAACTACCCTAATGTTCTGTTCTTCCCTCTCTCCCTTTCTTCCTCCCTCCCTTCCTTCCTTTTGTCCTTCCTTCTTCCGTTTCCCCCTCTCTCTTTACCGCCATTCTTTTCTGTCTTTTTCTTTTCTTTCCACTCTCTTTCTTCAACTGCTTTTTATTTTTCTTTCCTAAAAAAAAAAAAACCAAAACAAAACTAGGGGCAACAAAAGGAGTCCCACAAATGGAACTTGTGGAAATAAAACGCTGAAATGAAAAGCTAAAAAAATTGTTTTAGATCAAAAGATAAATCAATTTCATAAAACTGCTATTCTGAAATTGCAACAATCTTGTACAGTCAGGACTGATAAAATGGAGTAATCAGACATTTCATATGTCTATAAATGTAAAATCATCTACTTGAACATTATATGCATACATTCACACAAAAAAGCAAATACTGTAGCCTTATTTGAACAATATTGAACTCATAAATACTCATGGTTTCACTCTGTTCAGGGGTCTAAGGACTAGGAATGCTGCTGTAATACAGAAAAACATAGTGAATACCTCCTCTATTTAAAATGTCACTCAAGGAATTCTCTTCTAACATAAAGGCAAATACATATAGCTACTGGGCTATGACTGTACTTCTGTCACATTCTATGGGAAAAACACCAGACTCCACAAATTCGGAATCATGACAACACTTTGAACTAATTATTTGGTTCATCCATAGTTTATACCTTGATTTACCTCACATTTACCCTACAAACCTTACGAAGAGGAGGTATCTTTAACTCTAGGAAAGCGGTCACTGTATAATATGCATTCTTGATCTGTTTCTTTCTCCCAAACAATGGTACTGATGGTTAACACTTTTGTGGTAGCACCACTATTTCTAGTAAGTAGATTATTATGGAGTGTGCCACTTTAAAGCTGCAATACAAAAACAATACATATATATATATATATATATATATATATATATATAGTTTACTCACCAATTCCACAAAGAATATTTTAAATAAGCAAATCAATAATAATCAAAATTAAAATGTCATATGTGTTAAAAAAGTTTTTAATACATCAGTCAAAATAATATAATGAATTATTATAGTGAGTAAATTTAATAGCGTTATGCCATATTATTGCCATTTTGTGGAAACACTGTATATTTATGTCTCCTCATTTAGGATTTGCTTTTTTGTAATTAAAATAGATTTATGGTGTACTTCAGAGTTAAGCTTTACTTGAAAAAAATTGATGATTTTCAAGCCATTTCTTTCGGGGCAAAATATTAGATATCTTAAGGATATACACCCGCCATGAAATATCTTGTATCTAACTTTATTAGTAGCTTTTTTGTGATTAGTATGACTTGCAGAAGGGAACTATTTGTGGAAAACTGTCTCTGCAGTGAAACTGGTAATTTCGTCAAACTTGGAAAATGGCTTTCAAGACTAAGGTCTTTCTTTAGTAAAGAGTAAAACCATCAAAATACTCTTCTAACATAATACTTTAGAGTAACACTATTTTCATTTAAAAATGTAGTTTTCATTCTTTATGATAGAAACAAATATCCATGATAATTTAATAATTAATATAATCTTAAGATATTCTAATCACTGGTGTCTTGTCTTCATTAGATCACATCTTACAAATATCATGTAAGAAGAAAAAAAGCATGGTAATTTTGGTGGTATGGTTTGTTTTTTGGCCTTGCTTGTTTGAACTGACATGGCTCCAGAGAAAGATTTTATTACAGAATTAGTTATTTCAGGGATTGATCTGCTGCATGCCAGCACAGAATATGTGATACAATGTATCTTGGAAAATTTTCTTTTATACAACATTCATTCCCAACTATCAAGTGAGTGATGTTTTCAGGTGGAAGATATGTGAAATGCTCCTGTCTGCAGGAGCACTGTATCTATCATATCCACTTACCTGCCTCAGAGCCAAACGAATCTGGTGTGCTCACCAACTCATGTAATCTTAGGTGATCAGACTTTGTGTTCTTTCAGACAAGCCATCTTAAAAATTTTGGCTTGGAATAGTGAAAGGAAAGGATGTTGTATTGTTAGGCAATTTTTCGGATGGACTGTGCTGTCATTTAGAAGGGAATTATTTCCCAAAGAGGATCCAACATTCAACTACAACTACAAGAATACATATTGTAATAAATTTACCTGCACTATATTAATTGCATTATTTTCATTACACAACTGAGTTTATATGGGGCAAAATCCTCATACCACACAGGTAAGGAGGGATGAGATTTTTAGAGTCTAACAGCTCCTTCGTTCTTGAGAGATAGGATATAGTCCGACTTTATCTTGTGGTTTATTTTGCTTTCAAATTGTAGGATTTGGCAAAACATTTTATTAGTCGGAGATGAAGAGAAAAATTATTATTTTATATGAAGGCACACCCATGCTGAACTTACAGGGAAGAGAAGCAGAGCTGCACAGCCAGTTATATTACAAGGCTCATTCCTGAAACCTGAATATCATGCGAGCAGAAAAATCTAGATATGTGTTAGTTATATTTTGAAGAAATGATCTGAAGGCAATATTATTTGCTTTTTTATCAAAAAAGAAAAAATGCATCTTTGTAAATGTGGATTGACTCCTATTGAAACAGGGAAATGAATGCTTGTATTGCAGCCTTAAAGAATCACATATTCACTGCAATATTCGTTTTTGTAAACTACAGCCTGCAACCTAGCAGACCATGACTGAATGCTTTTGAAAAGTTGTAGATTACAAACATGAAATCACAATTAATATCCTCTAAAAGTAATTTCAGAGCTTTCACATCTTAAAAAAAGGACAATGTGTACTGCTTCACAAGGTAATGTAGCTAATCAAAAAAAGAGTAGAATTAAAGTATTTACATAATGAGCAATTCTACAGAAGGCGATCATCCCCATGTAAGCACTGCTGATTATATCCCACGCTGCTTTTAACAAACTGTACCAGATTGGATCCAGCCATCAGCACTTTCAGAGAATCCTTAAAAGCCTTTTATGGGTCTTTAAATTTATTGTAGAATGGCATTCTTCAGGTAGAATATGCTGGTGAAAGAGGAGAGTGTCAACACAAGGTACCAGCAGGAGAAAAGAACGTCAGCGCTCCCGGTAATTCCATACTGGGCTGTACTTGGAGCTGGAAAGAAATGGAAAAGATTAAATCAAAATCTAATTTGTGTCTTTCAGGATCTTAACAATAATCAAAAGGCAGCTGGCTGTACTGGGGAGAGCACTGGCACTGGAGTCAGACAGACTTAACTTCACATCTGGTTCTGCTATAGGACAATGTGTGACCTATTCAAGTAACGGCTCCGAGCTTCAGTTTTCTCAAGGGCAAGAGGGGAATAAGATAAGCCACCTGGCCGGGCTGCAGTGAGAGTTGGAGATGAAGCACATACAGCCCACCGCACTGGGCTGGACACAGGCTAAGTGGTCACTAAACAGTAGCTAACATTATTATTTCTTTTATACACATTGTAAGTATTTGGATTAGTGGATAATATGTAGTTCATGCATATATTTTTTAACATTTATTTTTGTTGGGATATATAATTGACCTATAACACTGTGTAACTTTAAGGAGTACAACAGTGTTGATTTGCTACATTTGTGAATTGCAATACGATCACGATTACGACCACAGCATCGGCTAACAACTCTATCACATCACATAATTATCATTTCTCTTCTGTGATGGAAACAATTAGAATCTAGTTTTGTAGCAACTTTGGAGGTTATAATACAGACAGTATTGTTGTCTATAATCATTGTGCTGTGCGTTAGTTCTCCAGCAGCCATTTACCTACTAGTTCTAAATTTGTACACTTAAACAACATCTCCCCAATTGCCCTCCCCAGACTCTGGTAACCACCATTTAGCTCTGTTTTTACAAGTTCAGCTTTTTTAGATGTCACATACGAGGGATAGCATACATATACACATACACATTATTTGTGCATCTTTTTTATTGGCCAAATACTGCACTGAATGCTAGAAAAACAAGAGATTCTCTCTTTCAAAATCTTTTTTGGGGGGGAGGTGGGGTTTAGGTGAAGAAAGATATTGAAGCAATTATAATATAATCCAAGGAGTATTAGATGTATAAACTGGAGTGACACAGAAAATTCTGTATCTAAATCTGCCTGGGCAAGGGAGGGATGATTTCACAGAGAGTTTGACTAAAGGGGACAGCCATTTGGACAGAGGAAACAATTTATTCAAAGGTATGAAGAAAGGAGAGAGCATGGCCTATATTCTAGCAGATGAGTCTTGCCGGACCATGAAATTTGAGGCTTGGAGTTGAGGGAACTGAAACGAGAACTCTAGGCAGATAAAACATGACCCCAACTATAAGGAAAAAGAATTTAGTTTTTTATACTGAAGGAGATTTTAAAGAATTTGGAGCTGTTGAATCATATGATTACTTTTAATTGGAAAGATCACAGTTTCATACATAGAGAAGATTATGTAGTACTTGGCCAAGCGTCAAGTTAAATTTTCACTAAGAGATTTCACCTAGAGATTCACCAAAGCTTGGAATATTTTGGGAATCTACTGAATGGATTCCACTTCATTTCACAAGAGGACAATTGCCTCTTGGAACGTGAATTACACCATGTTTCAGAAATTGAATGTTACAGGCATGCTCTGCTTTGGTTGAGACCGATTCTCATTTACCATCATAAAAATAACAGTAATAATAAAACCCCCCACCAACATACATTTAACTATCCTCTCTTAATAAAACCTGGATTTCAAGCAATGTTTCGTAATAGAAAATGAATTGTGTAATTAAAAAAAAAATACTACTTCACCCCCAAATCCATAACTCAATTTCAGGAGCAGTTTTAGTCACACGGAGTTTAAATTACCAGAAGATAGTTGTTAATGGAACTTTCACCAATGACTATATTTCCATATTACAAGAAGAATAAATTGCATTGTTTATATCTCTAAGAAATTACAGGGGATGAAAAATGCATTCATCTATGCAGGAGAAAGTTTCCTTGACGGTACACTTGTTGGGTCCAGGTGAATGTAGTTCAACGACTGAGACTACTACCCTTTAGTAACACAGAGCAAAATGCACTATTTAATGCTTCTATTCACATCACAAATGAGTTTTTAAAAAATGAGAAGATGATGAAGAAAAGAAGCCTATTGTTGAGCCCATAGCTTTTGAAGTCTTGTTATATAAGAAGTCTATTTTAAAACCATGAAGCTCTTTAAATTATTTTCTCTTGTTCAAGAGCTAGAAAGGTGTTTTGTTTTTTAAAACATAAATAAATATTTAATTGGTCTATTACCTTCTCAATGACAGCTACTGAAGAGTTATTTTGCTGTTGTTTTTTAAGAATCTTGAATGCAATAAAACCAGAATAATAGTAAAGGACTAATAATAAGCAAAGCATATAAAATGATTTCATAAATAAGAAATAGATCTTAAAAGCAAGGCATACAAAGCAAAGATAAAAGTTTTATTATCATGACAAATTAAATAGTACAGTAAGTGGGTAAAGTATAAAGAACCATGAAAACTCCTTATCCATCCTTTAACGGGCATTTTTGAGGCAATCTCTCCTGAATCCCCTCCCCTCTTCCAGCAAACTGAGGAGATAACCCTATTGTGTCATTAGACCACCCATGTATATTTCTTTTCATAGAACTATTATACTACATTGCAAATATTCATATATGTAATATTTATCCCACTAGACTGTGAGCCGTCCTAGGTCCTGTTTTATTTATCTTTGTGTTTCCATGCACTGAGAGTGGCAAAGTAGATGCTCGAGAAATGTCTCTTGAATGAATGATTCAATTAAACAAATGAAATGATCAGAGTTAAAAGGAGTATTTCTCTTTTACAAAATGAAATCTCCTCTGAAGCAAGTCACCTGCATATAGGCCAGAGAATACGTCATCTTTCATTCATTTAGAAATATTAATTGAATTAGGTGCCAGCCACTGGGAATATACTACCTAATAAGATAGAGATGGTCCTTTTGTTTCTTAACTCCATACACTACACCTCTTCCCACAGCGTACCTTTATCTTCTACTCAGCCTCCTATTGTCTTAGACATGAGAAAGATACGTCAGTAATATTTTTAAAATTAAATAATGCTTTTTAACTAAGAGTATATCTTTTTTCCATTGTACTCCTTAGTTGTTTGTAGATGCAATACTCCATTAGTCCCAAAATAAAATAGGAGCCTGTTGCTGCATCATTAGACTGCAATTATTATAGGAAATGGACTGTAGAATAGCTATTGATAATTAGGAAGCCAAAAAGCAAAGAGTAAAGTCAGTCAAGGGAATTTTTGGTCAGATAACTAATGCTAAGTCATGTATCATGATTTATTCTCCTTAAGTATATATTGAGCATCTTTCATGTGCTGGAGATGGAACATGGGCTCAGGTGAATAAAACTCAATCTTCTCTCTTAGGAAAGTTTTGTTATAGTTGGAGGTATAAATAAAAAGGCATGTATGGAACATTAGGATATATATAATTGTAAGGATAATGAACAAACATGGGAGGGCTTCCTAAGGAGTCATGACAGGTAAGTAGTCCAGACAGCAGATACAAATACAAGTATTTTTTAAGAAATGCAATGATATACACATGTTAGTACATATATATCTCACTTTTTAAAATGGGGGTATAGTAGTCCTTTTACTTGGGGTATCCTATTATTATATAACCTTAGTCTGATATTTATTATGGATTTGTAGTGTGTGTGACTCGTTAACCGGGTGATTCGGAGCACCAGGCTAAAGATACTAAAGTTAGGGGTCTCAGTACTATTGGGCCAGTTAGATTTGTTTGGCATGTTGCATCTCAATCAGCTATTTAAGAAATTATTGAAAAATGTTAAGAATTCAAGAAAATAATAGCTCACTATTAGATATTAGCTTGAAGACTCAGTTCAAATATCATACACTTTAAAAAGAGAAAAGTTTTTATAAATTCCCACATGCCATATCAGTTTGGCATATTTGATATTGTATTTACATATCTATCACATCATGTTTACATACCTGTCTTTCCCCACTCGGCCAAGAGTATCTTCAAACCAAGATTTTTTATATATGTCTTTAACACTGTTATAGAATACAGAGTCTGGTATTTGGTAAGTGTTCAATAAATATTTGTTGAGTGATGATAAGTTTCATATCCATTTCCCAATCTGACAATAAGCACATAAAGTGACACAATAACTTGACTTCTTTTTTCAGAAGAATATTGTCTTTCATCACTCATGTATTACTGTCTTTCTTCTCTCCATGCTTTTGGACTTACGACCTTCTAAGACCTGTATAGAGTCAGTGTACCTCCCTTCAGCACTTGAGCAAGAAGATAGATCATAAGGCCAATTATAAGGGGGAAGAGCAGGCATCAAACTTCGTAGCACCATCCTCTTGCAGCAAACGAAAGGGAGTTTAGATGAACCTATACCCGTCAGATATAGTCTTGGATTTCTTAAGAGACAGGCAGTGGTGCCTCTGGCATGGTCAGATCTGTTGTATATTCTCTGCCATGTTTTTCGCTGCCTCTGAATATCATACTGCTACTCATCCTAAAGAAAATTAGGAGGGCGAGGGCATATGATCAGTGGTTTAGTGGAGCTATGGTTAGAATTTTGATTTGATTCAAAATCTCCATAGGAGAGTTCTGAGCAGAGGAGTCTAGCTGACATTTTTAAATGATCACCTGGCTATTCTATAGAAAATAGATCATACTGGTGGAGGCAAGAGTAGAAGCCTGTGTTAATCACAGACCATCAAGTGTCTCCATTACCTACTGAGGGAAGCCAAAGCACTATAGCTCAGCATTCAGGGACCTCTATTATCTGGTTCTAGACAACTAATCCAGATTCATACATACTTCTTACCTCTACTCACATGGGCCATTTTCTGAACACATAGGGTATTTTCATTACTCCTTGTCATTTGCACATGCCATATTCATAAGCCAAATGGCCTTCCTTCTTGTTCTTCTCTACCTACCAAGGTCCTACTCATCCTTAGATATCTAAAATACCATTTACTCCACGAGGCCCCCCTAATCTCTTTAAGAATTTTTAGTCCTCCATTTATATCTGACTTCAGAAATAGTTTCTTTTTAACTTATAATA